GAGCGGCCATGTTGGATCAGGCCAATGGCCCATCAAGTTCAACACTTTGTCTCACACAGTGATCAAAACCCAGATCCCATCAGGCGGACCAAAAGCAGGGCCAAAACTCCAGAATCCCTCCCACTGTTGCCCCTCATCATCTGGAGGCTAGTGTTTGTTTGTTTTTGCATCCTCCAGTGTGGCAAACATCACACCCAACACTGTAATCATTAGTTTAAAACCTGCCTTTATGCCACATTATGCCATTTATCTTGCCTGACCTGAATTCTTCCTGCTTTTGATGCACGAGGCTAAATTTGGTTTCCTTATTCCCAGTTCCTTATTCATTCATTATTTGCGCCTCTATTCATGACTTCATCCAAAAACACTGAGGAGAGTTTGAAAACTCTGAACCTCAAAATAAGGTCTGGACCACCACACATCATAGAATCATAGAATGTAGAGTTGGAAGGGACCTTGCAGGTCATCTGCCCTAGGCTAGGATTTGTGTTAATTGAAACATGTAAGCTGCTCAGAGCCCTAAGGGGGTAAGTGGGATACAAGCTGAAGGAAATAAATAATAAATAAAACCCTCTGCACTCTGCAGGAGCATAGCCAAAAGATAGCCCTACAACATACCCGAAAGATGGTCGTCCAGCCTCCGCTTGAAAACATCCAGTGAAGGAGCATCCACCACCTCCCAAGGCAGTCTGTTCCACTGCTCAACCACTCTTACAGTTAGGAAGTTTCTCCTGATATTTAGCCGGTAACGACTCCCTTGTAATTTCCACCCATTAGATCTAGTCTTGCAATCCGGAGCAAGAGAGAATAGATCTGTTCCATCTTCTACATGACAACCCTTCAAATATCTGAAGACTGCAATCATGTCCCCTCTAAGCCTTCTCTTTCCCAGGCTAAACATACCCAACTCTTTCAGCCTTTCCTCGTAAGACTTGGATTCCAACCCTCTCACCGTCCTGGTTGTCCTCTTCTGGACACGCTCGAGCTTGTCAACATCCTTCCTAAAATGTGGTGCCCAAAACTGGACACAGTACTCCAGGTGAGGCCTGACCATAGCTGAATAGAGTGGAACTACCACCTCCCTTAAGCTGGACACAATGCTTCTGTTAATGCATCCTAAGATTGTATTAGCTTTCTTCGCAGTCACATCACACTGCAGGCTCATGTTTAGCTTGTGATCAATCAGAACACCTAGATCCCTTTCACATGAGTTGCTGTCAAGCCAAGTCCCTCCCATTCTATATCTGTGCCTTTGGTTTTTTATATCTAAGTGCAGGACTTTGCATACTCCCCCCAAGTTCACAGGACTCTCCCCTTCAAAATAATACATCCTGTTTGCTGGTCCAAAGCACGGTTCTGGTGCTAGTTGCTCCAAAGTACAGTGCCCCAGGCAGACACTTGGGCCACGATGCACCCCAAAACACTCTTTGGACCACCCCAAATGACACATCCCCACACTCTAGAGACTATCCCCTGCAAGATGACATACAGTGTTGCCCGGTCCAAATACTGGTTCTGGAGCCACAGACTTCTATTTGGGTTGCCCCCAAGAAGCCTGTATTTCAAAGGCGATATGAATAAGGAACTGGTTTGACTACTTGTCCTCTGCATCCCAGAATAAGGTTCGGACTGCCACATGTCATACACCCCCATGTTCAGTGGACACTCCCCTTCGAGGAGGCATATGCGGTTTCCTGGTCCAAAGCACGGTTCTTGTGCCATCAGTTCCAAAGTGTGGTGCCCCCAAGACAATCACACAGGCAGATACTAGGGCCTGGCTGCACACACAAAACACTCTTTGGACCACCCCAAATGACACATCACCATGCTCTGGAGACTGTCCCCTGCAGGAAGACATACAGCAGTGCCCGGTTCAAACACTGGTTCCAGTGCCACAAGCTTCTATTTGGAGTACCTCCCAGAGGCTTGTATTTCAAAGAAGATTTGAATAAGGAAGTTCCCTCTGCACCCAAAATAAGATTTGTACCACTACTTTTCATACACCCCCATGTTCAACAGACTCTCCCATTTGAGGGGACATTTGCTGTTTCCTGGTCCAAAGCACAGTTCTTGTGCCAGCTGCTCCAAAGTGCGGTGTCCCCAGGACAATCACACAGGCAGACACTGTGGCCAGGCTGCCCAGTCCAAACACTAGTAACCCCGACTGCCTCCAGGCAGGAGCTACTTATCAGTGAAAACTGCCCCACCCTAGGCCATCAGAGAGAGGTTCTTCCCAGGATCAGCTATTCCAGACATTTTAATTGGAGATGGCAGGGACTATACCTAAAACCACCTACTGGAGCATTGCTGGCTATGCGCTGTAACAATAAAATTCATTCATTCACCTACTGGAGCCATAATCCTTCCCCATGGAGTACAGAAACACCTGAAACTACCTTCTCACACTGTTAGTCCACCTAACTCAATACTAACTGCTGTGGCAGTAGCTCTCCATAGTCTCAGGCAGAGGACATTATTTCCCCAACACCTACTCCTGACAGATATGTCCCCATGAGATGCGGAACTCTGCATGTAAAGCACGTATTCTATCACTCGGCTCTGGCCCCTGCCCTTAACTGCTAAAAAAAATGCAATGCTTGATGCATGTATTCAACATCCAGGCCTTATAAGAACATGCTGTAAATGCTGCAAATTAAGGATGTGGCACACCAACCACTGCTATAAGTGCAGTCTGCAGACCAACACCTTGACTTTCACCTGCTGGATTTCCTCCCTTTCCACCCCTTTGTCCTCCTTTTTAAAAACCTAATTGTCTACAATTGGACGCTTAGGGAATCAAACAGCATCACTTATAGTGCAATTCTAAGCAGGGTTACACCTTTCTAAGCCCACTGACTTCAATCCACTTGAGAAGGGAATAACTTTGCTTAGGGAGAAATATTTTCAAAACAAGTCCTAATATCCTCCAATCTGTTAATAATTGTCTGCTGAGCTTCCATAGGAAGGTTTGCAAAGGAGTGTAATAAATCCAAAAACGTCAACCTCAGGCGTATTTACTTGGGGTTCCTCCCTAATGGGTTCAGGATGGGCCAAGTCCATTAGATTCCTTTTTTCCATGGCAGCTTTTGTGAATCTAGAAAGATTCTTCTGGTGTTCTGGAAACAGGGGGATTATTGAGGTATTCAGAAAAGCTTTAGAAAGACGCCTAAAAACCTGGGTACTCAAACAACAAATCATTTGTCCTGAACAAATTAGGTTCTCGAAAGGCAGCTCCACCATTGACCATTGTTTTCTGCTATCCTTTTTAGCCAACAAATATATGAAATATGGTACAAAAAATGTTATGCAGCTTTTATGGATCTGAAAGGTGCATTCGACTCGATCTCTAGACACCTACTCTGGAAAAAGCTAGAACTAATGAAAATGGACCCCTGCCTCCTATTTTTGATTTAAAAACTTCACTCATCCACCTCTGTCAAGTAAAACATACAGAAAGTGGACATTTGACAGCAAAGATCCTATTACAAAAAGGAGTAAAACAAGGCTATATACTGGCCCCCCTTCTTTTTAATTTATTTTTAAATGATTTAGCTTCATATCTGAAGCCCATTAATTATCACCCACCTAGATTGGGTCCCTATGCCACCCCTCTTTTTCTTTATGCGGATGATACCACAATTCTTTCATGCACAAAAGTCAGCCTCACAAGATATTTACAGCATTTCTATAAATACTGTCAAGATAATACATTAACTATAAATTATACTAAATCTAAAGTATTAGTATTTTCAAAACGCTGGTGTCCAAGTAAATGGAAAATCGGCAATACAGAAGTTGAACAGGTCAAAACTTTCAAATACTTAGGAGTAACATTTCAGTACAATCTAAATTGGACAACAGAATATTAGATCAATTTCTCAAGCGAAGCAATCTATCACCCAACTGAAGCAATTTCTCTTTATCAACAGAAATCAACATATCTCTTCAGCAATAAAAGTTTACAAAACTAAAGTGCTTTCCCAAGTACTCTTCGGTTGCCCGGTATGGATAAAGGCACTTAACATCGAGTTTGAACACATTCAAGCAAACTTCTTTCGCCAACTCTTAGGTGTCCCAAGGTATGTGCCACACTTGGCTTTATGCCTAGAATTGGGCCAACATCTTATTCAAACAAAAGGTTGGCTACTAACAAAATATTGGCTCAAAATTCATTTTAGAGCCTCTCCAAACTCTCTAATTTCACGCTTAAAAATGATACACACAATCCCCTCTGGTTTTCAAAAATAAAAGAAAAAATTAATCAAATAGGCTTTTCAACTGATTACTTTCTCCAAATGGACGAAACCTCGATTTTTCAATCTATTAGACAAAGTATTTGATCTAGAATTACATAATTTTCGTCCTTCACATCCACATATTTATTCACAAGCTCATCTTAACCTCTTAACCCAACATGGCCAAATGGCCCACTATTTACATAATCTCACCCTTCCTTCCCATCGTAGAGACTTTACATTGGCTCAGCTAAACGTCTTTCCCCCAAACACGTTGTGGGGTTGATTTAACATCCCCCCCAGGAAAGACTCTGCAAATGTTCCAGCATGGCCCCAGATTCAATCTTCCATATTATTCTGGACTGCCAGCTGCACACATCCTCACATATTAAACTTTTACCCCTTCAGCCCTACTTATTTACTAATAATCTTCAAACTGTTCAATATCGTCTTAATGATGTTAATACTGATACTACAATTATGATTGCATTTTCTTAGCAGAATCAGCCACACTTATAGTCTATTTACATAATACGCATATATTATTGTATAAATTTACTTACTGGAATTAAATGTATTTTCCTAAATGTATTTATGTATTATGCCATTAAAGGTGCCTGAATCTGAATCTGAACTTTGCTTAAAACTATACTTTCATAGAGGTAAAAAAAATCAGATGTTAGGACTGTAAAATTTCTCAACTGCCAAAGCAAAGACATATTATACAATTCATGTTAAATTTTTTACATAGTAAAATATTCTTACCTCAATCAGCTTTCTCTCATAGGAGCTGGCTAGTTCCTCATTATTTTCTACTTGTTTTTGTTCAGGTATGCTAAATTCACTCTCCACATTCCAGAGATTTGACAGTACTGAAACCCAAACAAAGTGTGCATTGATTTAAACTAGCAGTAATTTATTCTACAAGAAATCCTACCCTTTCTACTAGTTAAAACAAAACAAATTACTTTACATTATCTAAATCTTAAGGCAAACATCACAACACAACTCCTAACATTGGATATAATGTTGTTAGAGAAAACAATTTGTTTAATCAACATTTGCTAGTATTAACACATTCTACGCAGAGTCTAGCCTCATCTAATGGTATAGTATATTTAGGGTTGTCTACACTGTAGAGTTCACTTGCCATTCTTTTCAAGTTCATAACTCTCAAAACAACTGGCATCATAGCATTTCCCCAAGCCTCTGTTCTACTGGGCTGCCACTCTAAGCACAGGCCCACAACTGCTATGTTTTTCTTTACACTGGGTCTCTTAGGCAGCAAAAAGGGCTGAGAGAGAAAATGTTTTGGCTACTACTGGTCGTTTTTAAAGCCACAGCTGGACCAGGAAACACATCCCTCCACTGCAGAAATGGCCACCAGGAAAACCAGGTAACAGGCGAACATTTCAAGAGGGTGGGGATTTCTCCTCCACTGGGCTGCACGTCCAAGGGCAGCCCAAGCTTTTCCTTCACTCTCTTTCGTGCCTCCTCATGCAGACAGTCTCATCATGCCCCCTTCAGCAGACAGCCAACACTTTCAACTCTCCTACCTGCCCATGTACTGTCTTCCTATCTAGCATTTTTATTCCCCCATTCCTACAAGCAGCTGTTCACAACTACCCTGTATGATGGGCTAGTCTGAGAAAGTGTGACTAGCACCAGATCACCCAGTATGCTTTGTGACTGAAACCCTGTAACCTGGATTTCCCAGGTCCTAGTCTATTGCTGCATCACACTGGCCTTCATTTCTACTTTAGCCCTAAATCTGTTCCCAGTTCAGAGATCAACCTTAGATCAGACTAAATACGCAGGACCAGATCCTGTAACGATTCCCTTCGAGGCCATCAAATTAGTATGAAACAACACATACTACACAACACAATATCTACATTTGAAGAACAAAACTGGAAGATGTCCAAGATCACAGGGACAAATATCTAAAAACTAGGGTTGCCAAATGTGCCCGGGGGGCGGGGAGTCCCCCGCTTCGGAGCCCCGATTTCCGCCCCGGCGGAATCGGGGCCCGGGGGGCACCCCTGGACTGAGGCAGGGCATGCACAGTGCTGACGTTGGGGGCGTGGCTGAGCTCATCGGGGGGGAAACCATATGTTCCCCCCTGACGAGCTCGGCCACGCCCCCAACATCAGCAACGTCTGACGTCACTTCCGGTGATGTCGCGACGGCGAGTGCACGCACCCAGCCTGCTCCCGGACGGGACGGAGCCTCCCCTGCCGGTGAGTTTAAAAGATTTGGCAACCCTACTAAAAACACACACACTTTTATATACAGTGTGTCACACTAGGATCTGGGAGACCTAGGTTCATATCTCCATTCTTCCATGGAAGTACATTGGGTATCCTTGGGCCAGCCACAAACACTCAGCCAAACGTACCTTACAGGGTTGTAAAGATAGAATGGAGGAGGAGAGGAGGAGATTGTAAACCACTTGGGTCCCCACTGAGAGGGAAATTGCATATAAATTAAGTAAAATAAATAAAATAAATACTGCATAAAGAAACAGAAGAACACATGAACTTAGATGGGTGGTCTTTTTATGCAATCACTGAACAGAGCCTACAAGGAATCAATAACGTGCCCAATAAGGCACGTTAAGCAAGAAATTCAGCATTCACCAAGCAACTGCTGCAATCCAGCAATACTGCTTGCCAGCAGATACAAACCAAGCAAACAGAATCAGAAATCAAAGCAGCTAAATGTAACCCTTGATTAGAACCCTTCAATTAGTCCAATAAACAAAAGCATTAAAAGGTCTCTGGGAAGTTTAGAACAGCAGTGAATTAGACACTCCTGCTCCAATGAAATAGCAATAAATGTATATATATTCTCTTCCTTCCTTGCACTGGCAATACTGTACATACATTCCACAATTCTCCCATTTTCACAGGGTCTCAGGAGGACTCCCCACCTCCAACACCATGGCCAGACCTAGATCTATTTAGCTTCAGTCACTGCATCATCTGCCTTGCTACTACACCCCTGGGTCACAGACAGAAGTAACCTTTATAAAAGAAAGTACATGAAGACTAGGGGAGGGTCCTTTTAGCCTATGTGCCTTTTCCAGCCTTCCCCCTAAAAAACCCCAAAACCCTTTACTCCGTCAACAAACCAACCAACTGGAGAAAATCATCAGACAAATCGTTTTTTCACACAAGAATGAGGGAAGGCAGTTTCACCCGACTCGTGCAAAACTCAAAACGAACACTACAGAAGTCTCTAGTTTGTTTTGTGAAGCTGTAATAATCTTGGTTAGAGCAAGAACACATTCCCTGTGGATTCACTGGGAATTAAAATAAATATTTAACAATACTTCAGAAATTTCTTTTCCAAATGGATTACCGAGTCAAGGTAAAAATAGGTGATGCTAAAAAAGCCAAGTACCTGCCTCCTTGACCCATGCCCTTCCTGGCTAGTTAAATCCTGCAGGGAGAGCATTCGGGCTCCTCTGGGAGAAATTATCAACTTGTCCCTTTCTACTGGGACTTTCTCAGAGGCTTTGAAGGAGGCAGTGCTCTGTCCGCTCTTGAAAAAGCCATCACTGGACCCGAAGGTCCTGATCAACTACCACCCAGTATCGAATTTACCGTTCCTGGGTAAGGTAGTTGAGAGAGTGGTGGCCGAACAACTCCAGGTTTTCCTGGATGATGCTTCCGTCCTTGACTCCTTCCAGTCTGGCTACGAGACGGAGATGGCTCTGGTCGCCCTTACAGATGACCTCCGTAGACACCTGGACTGAGGCGTGTCAGCGTTCCTGTTGTTATTAGACCTGATGGCAGTGATTGACATAGTCGACTACAATCTTATGACCCACCACCTCACCGACACAGGAGTTTAGGGGACTGCCTTGAAATGGCTTTCTTCCTTTCTCCATGGTCGGGGACAGAGGGTGGTGCTTGGCGAGAGGGTCTCCTCACGGTATCCGCTAAAATGTGGAGTGCCGCAGGGGGCCATCCTCTCGTCAATGTTGTTTAACATCTATATGCGCCCCCTCACCCAGTTAGTCTGGAGTTGTGGGCTGGGCTGTCACCAATATGCTGATGACACCCAGCTCTATCTGTTAATGGACGGCCATCCATTTTCTCCGTACCAACGCCAATACCAGCATGGGACGTCACATTCTGTCTTCGGCTACGCAGTAAAAGACCTGCCAGCACCCCCCTCCAGGTAGGCTACTGCTCGCTAATCTCCCACGGGTGTGAACCACAGACACCACGTCAAAGATAAGCAGGTTGCTTATCAGTAACTGGTGATCTTCGAGTGGTCATCTGTGCATTCACACCACCCGCCCTCCTTCCCCGCTGCTGTCAGCTTCTACATTTTTGAATAGGGGTTGGTTTGCGGCAGTTTGTAGGAACTGGCGGGATGTCCGCGCCCACCCGTCTGGGCATGCGCGATGGGGTTCCTGCACATGCCCGAGGGACTGAGTGCGAAAATCCGTTAAAAGAGCTTGCTACAGCACCGATCAATCCAGCGCGTGCGCACCAGATCCCACGGGTGTGAAGCACAGAGACCACGTCAAAGATAATAGACCTCCAATAGATCAATGGATGTCAGGGAATCCTTTTCCCGCATGGCTGATAGAACAGGCTCTAGTGTTTCCTTCTAAAACTTGTTTGTTTTGATGTATTTGTTCAGCCATTTCAGGTCCAGGATGGCCCTCACATCTCCGTTCTTCTTTGGCTCTATAAAAAAACACCGAATATATTCCCTGATTCACTTGGTTCTCTGGGACCCTTTCTATAGCCCCTATGTCCAAGAGATGTTGAATGGCACCTTCCAGTAATCGATGCTTCTCCAAGGAAGGGTTTTGTGGAATTTGAAGAAAGCGATCTCTGGGCAAGGTGTTCAATTCTAGAATGTACCCTCTGGATACAGTGTCCAGCACCCATTGGTGTGTCACCGTTTCCTTCCAACAATGTGCAAACAATTTTAAGTGGCCTCCTATCCCCCCGTACTCCCCCATGTCGGCATAGTCATGCTGTTGATCCTTTCTTGGTGGGTTTAGCACTTTGATTACTTTTGTTGAGATAGGAGGACTTATGGTCGCAAGCCTTGTTTTGCCATTTTCCTTTGAACACTTTGGAAAAACTTGTTCTGTATGTCTTTCTGGAATCACGAAAGGACTGAAACCTCTTCCAGGGTTTGAAATCCTTCCTTTTTGATGGTTGAACCTTCTTTTTGTCTCTGTCCTCTATTACCCTGTTTCCCTGAAAATAAGACCTACCCCAAAAGTAAGCCCTAGCAGGATTTCTATGCATTTGTGGTATAAGCCCTAGTGTGTCTTCTTGAGAAAAAATAAATATAAGACAGTGTCTTATTTTCGGGGAAACACGGTAGGTATCTATCTAAACCTTCTCCAAAGAGGATGGTGCCAAAGAGGATGGTGCCAGCTGAGCTCTGAGCAGGAGCAGGAGACAGTGTTTTTTTACTTGCTTTCAGCTGAGTATTCAGTATTTAAGAAAGCACCTTGCCAGAGGCACGAGCCTCTGCCACGAGCCGAAGGGCGAGCTAAAGGGCTCTTTGTCTGTGGCTCTTAGCCTAGGGGCTCTGTAAGAAGCCCAAAAAGAGCCAGAAAGCCAAGGCCCCAGGCTCTTTGTCTTCCCCGTAAAGTAATTTGACTTTGACAAGAAAAACCACATAAATCCAAAGGGTTTTAAAAGGGGGATTATATTTACTTATTTTAAAAGAATTATGAAGCCAGAATGCCAGCAGGGGGTTGGGGGCTATCCAGGGTTTTGTATGGAGTGTCACTTGTATGACTGTCTGCCCACTGGACAGAAGTCTTGGGTGTGTGCTCGGTGCAAGGAGCTCCTGGTTCTCAGGGAACGTGTTTGCTCCCTTGAGGCCA